GTTAAGGGGTTAAACAAAAAAAAAATATAATTGCCAGATGACAGTAAGGAACTAGTAATGAGATAGAAAATTTTAATTAACCTGTCCTAGTTAGCTGTTAGCTTTCGATTCAGGTCTGCTAGGTCTGCTAGGTCTGCTAGGTTTTTATTTGGATTTTCCGTTGCCTGGAGGCCGGGCGAAAACTCGGTCATAAGAAAAGAAGGATTCCTGTAAGAGATTTACGCTCGGTCAATTGCTCTTAGTTGTCTCAATCGAGTTTTAATGCAACTAAATATTCACAGCAACAGTCATATCATTTCTCGTCACCAGCTTTCATTTCTTATCGCCGAGTTTCCACCTGATCCCAATTCAGTTGCAGGAACTGGATTTTTTGCCCGTATATCGATGAAACGCGTCGTTAAAGAAACAATAGAAAAGGAATCGCTCGAAATGTTCCTCTTGGAATGCAGGAAAAATACCGATGTCTCGAAAGGAACATTTTGCGATTGTTTTTCGTTTTTTCTCACATGACTCTTGTCTTCACCAACGTCTCCCTTAACACACTCATAACTAAGTACACACAGAAAAATACATGCGTCCAAGTAAATGTAAAATATTCTCTGTTGAAGATAACTATTATTTAACAAAAGGGAAGTAAATTGAGTCGCTTTTTTTAGCAATAGAATAATATTTTTCTCTGCGTATGTTCAATCTGCACTACTGCAGATCCGGTCGTACACAGCAGTGTTCGTTTTTAAACGAGAAGAAGAAGAACCGGACGAAGAATGACTCTCTGGGTAAATTGGAAGGTCTCATTTCAAGGCGAAACGAGGTTTACGATTTAGATATACTTTCGGGCAACAAACGTTTCGTTACGGTTCTTTTATTAATGACCACGCTCTCGATTTCTAACGTTCTCCCCGGGGCTGGCAAAAAAGGCAACACGGAGACACGGGGGCCGCTCTTGATACCGACGACTGAGCTTTCCAATGGGATACATTCATTGTCACTTCGTCGATCGTGCACTTTCCCTTTGCGTGAAACTTGGCGCGGGTGCACGAAGGCAGACGCGTCGCACCGATCGAATCCGCCGAGCATCGGCGGAAAACACGGCGTCGATTCGAGGAGAGAAAAAACATCGATTTGCAGTGAGCGATCTCGAGGTAACAGTGAGGCGCCGGAAGAATCTCAAATGGAAAATCTATTCATTCGCCGCGCGCCGCTGGTTAACGATTCGCGGCTCGCTCGTAAATTTTCCCGGTACCTCCTTTATCGGACATCTCGCGAATGATTTAACCGACGGAAAATCATTCGCGAACGAGCGTTCCCTTCGCCACTCGGCCTGTAAATCTTTCCACGACCGTTCCGTCCACGTCGATCTACGTCGCGTGTTTCCCCATGGAAGAAATTTTGTCGTCAAAGATATTGAATACGAGAATAGGAGAAAGATATTTCCCCGTTGCGAAAAGAATCACACCCACGAGAGAAAGTCTGGGAAGAGGGAGGGGGAAGGGCATTCAGCATCGCTATATGTTATAAAGCGACATACCGACGCGTATCGACGCGCCCCAGAGATCGCGATCATCGATCGCTCCATCAGAATCCTCGGGTCGAAATTCTGATCCTATTTTGACGTTTTTCAAAGTACTTTGCGTCCAATTAAATGGCCTATAGACTAGTAAGTAGTAGTAAAAACTTATAGTGACGATACTAACAATTATTACTTCCTCTTTTGAATCCTTCCTCCTTTAATTCTACAGATTTAATTTTAATTCTAATAATTCAATTTAATCTTAATGATTTAATTTTAACACTGCTTTAAACAACTTAATTTAACGTTAAAACAGCGAAAACGGAAATTTAAGACATCATCAGGGTTAAAGTAGGGGTAAAAGATATTACTAGAATTGAAATTGTATCTATTTTACTATCTTAGCTCCTACTATTTTGTAGAATTAAAAATTTAATACACAGGGCCACGATTTCAACTTGGAGGAATCTTCAAGTCGAAATTCTGATGCTACTTTGACACGCTTAAGAATAATTTGTGCTTACTTCGACGTATATTACGTAGACTAGAAATTTATTTTGACAATATTGACATTCATTACCTTCTGTCTTGGACCTTTAATTCTACAAATTTAATTTTAACGCTACTGTAAAATAACCTATTTTCACGCTAAGAACAACGAAAACAAATTTAATATATCATCATAGTTAAAATAGGGATAAATTATATTATTAGAATCGCAAAATATATATATATGTATATTAAACTTATTTCGCTATCGTAGCTCCAACCATATTATAAAATTAAAGATTTAGAGATAAAATTTCGTCTCGGGTCACCGATCAAAGTCGCTCGTCTCCGTAACTTCCACGAGAGATGCAATCTCCTCCGCTCGTGAGGTTGATCTTTTCCGCGGTATCGCACTCACGTTCCATATTCACGAACCCCGCGAATATTTCTCTCTTTGTCTCCCTCTGTCGCGCTCTATCCGAGAGACTCGTTAGAGAGATCCTTGGTAACGTCTCTCGATCTCTCCTATTTCGCAGGAGTGAATGTGAGAGAACCGCTGGCAAAACTAATGTCCGCAAGGCCAACCGCCGCCGATAAAAATGCTTCGGATAATGCTCGCGAGCGCGCGCGCTCCGTTCGATCTCAATCTCGATTGTCCCGGTTCGCTCGTTTCGCCGACCGACCGACCAACCGGACGGCCGGGCCGAAATTTGCGGACAACGCACGCGTGCATCATCGACGAAAATATTCTGAAGCGGACCGAAGCAGTCTCCGTTTAGAAATGTTTCAAAACTCGAGTCGAAATTTCGGCCCTGCATTAAACCTTCTGCGACACAGTAGGGAAATAAGATAGCAAAATAAGTTCAATTTCGAGTCTAACGATGTAATTTACTTCTACTTTGACTATGACGATGTCGTCTTAGATTTTCATTTTCGCAGCGTAAGGACAAGTTATCTCGAGTACTTATACGAGTTTGATAATCGACATATCGAGAAAGCGTGTATAGCTTCAAGGCAGCATTGAAATGAAATCTCATTTTAGATTATCTCATTAAATTTCAAACAGCGCTTCATTGAAACGAAATCTGTAGAATTCAAGGTTCAAGAGAAAAATTAACGAGTGTGTTATCGTCAAAGTAGGGTTTCAACTAGTCTATAAGTCATCCGACATCTGGGTAAACTGTTCTTAAAAACATCGAAATTTCGATTCGGGATTGCCGGATCCATTCGATCGGTTACCGAATCGGAGAGGAATTCGAGGAGCGAGGTGCGTTTGAGCCTCTCGCCGGTTCGCGTTACCTTATTTGAGCCGGCGGGATTTTACCGCTTTTTATCCCATTTTCGGGCCGATTCATAAATATGCAAAGCACATTGCGGCAATTCGCGCCGATTCAATCAAATAAAACCGATGAATGCGCGATATATGCCCGTCGATCTCGTGTGAATACCGCCTCCGATTATGCGCGCGATGCATCGTCGATGCGCGAGGAGTGCTCGAGTGACGTTAATAAGTGCGGTGAGCAATGAGGATGAGAGAAAACGCCGACCTTTGGCCGGCGATTCGGATGACAGCCGGAAAATCAGGCTGCGAAATGCCAGACAGCGGCGATAACGGCGCTTTTCGGCCTAGCCGAAGAAACGTAGGTAGGTTTGCCCGGATCGTCCGATATTGGATCGGACGGAGAGCGGATGCTTGTGCAAAGTACACGCCACTGAGCACCATAAGCCGCGCGGACCGTTATGCGCGGTTTATAATACATAAAGCGTAAGTGACGCCTCCGACATGCGTTTCCATAAATTTGCGTGAGCACCGGCGGTGATCTCGCGTCAATTATCATATCGCGATAACATCCGCGCACGGCGCGGTAGTTATCACTCGGCCCGTTAATTTCTTATCGTCGTGTAATTTTTCTCTTCTCTCTTCTCGCGGATATCGTTCAACGGCGAAGATTCATCAGGACGATTCGAACTTGACTATATGTAGAACTTCGATCGAGCGAAGCTTGAATTCGTCCGACGACGCTAGAGATCCGTTTTCCCAATTTCTCTCGTTCGTTACGTCGCGTATGTTTTTAATCGCCGGCAAAGCGAGAGAGAGAGAGAGAGAGAGAGAAAAAAAGCCAGTTACGCGCCGGCTCGTTTCTGCCGAGCCTAGCGTTACACAAGTCATGTATACGGGTAGATGTCCTGTTAATGGAAAACGCCGCATTATCTGCGAAGTGAACGCGGAAGAACAGGTGTTACAAAAGAAATTATCACGCGCGCGAGCTGTTTCCGTGTTACCGGCGGGCGAGGGAGATTCGCCGTCCTCGTCGATCGTTAGTCACGCGTCAACGACTGTAAGGAACGAATTAAGACCGAAACCATATAAATCGAGACCGCGTAAATCCGCGACTCGCCATTCGTACGATTAATTTCACACCTACGCAAAACGGCCGTTCGGACGAGAAGGAGACGGAAACACCGTCGTTTCACCTCGTCGTGCGCTCGGAGAGAGAATTAGCCGTAGGAGCTGAAACAGGTATAACTAATGTGTCGTAGCTAAATTTATTAGCTGCTCGAATTAAAACGAACAATATAGTTGCAGCTCGCAGCGAATGAATTTTACCTCTAATAACTAATATCGCTATTAGCGAAATTTAACTGATTATTAACACGTTGACTACCAACTACGATATATCTCGTAGGTTGTTTACTTGCCCAGGACGCCAACTACGAGTTATCTCGTCGCTTCATTACTTGATTAAATCAAATTCGCTTCTTAGACCAGAATCGTGAAAAGTTCCGTGGAAGTCAACGTGTTAATATATTTATTTGGCTAAATATATGCATTGATAATTAACTATTTAGCGAAATCTATTAGTTGCCCCAACGACATTTCTTATTACAGCGCAGGTCGCAGTTAGAGATTTCAGCTCCTGCGGGCAATTCTTTCTCCGAGCGTAACACCGTGAAAACAAGAGATCAAGTCGCAATCGTTTAATGTGCAAAACTCACTCACCCTGCGATCGCGCCTGAGCCGTAATCGCCAATAGGAGTGTCACTAGCAGAAGCAATTTCGTAAACCAAAGCCTCCACATGTCGCCGTCCATCTGCTCCTCGAGTCCCGCGGACCGACAGCACTTTGAACTGGCCCGGAGTTGCGATGAGGAGACGCGCACTCTCACGTAAACCAATTCCGCGCGCACCGGTGCTACTCGCGTCCGTTACATGAGCACCGAAACGATCCGACGGCTGCTGGCCGGATTCGAACCACCTCGAGACCGCCTTACGAAGATCCTCCGGCCACCCGGTGTGTACGAAATGTTACTACTGTCGCGAGTGCGTGCGCGCGAAAAAGCGAAACGGCTGCGGTGCGGAGGAAACAGCGAAAGAGAGAGAGAGAGAGGGAGAGAAGAAGAAGAAAGTAGGTGAGAAAAACCGAGTAAGCGGGCGAAAGGGCGGAGAGAGGAAGCTGATAAAACCCGAAGAGCGGCAGCGAGACGAAGTCGATAACACGATAAAGTGAAAATTACACCTGGTTATCGGACGGGACGTGGTTACGAGAGCTCCTCGGTGTGCGGAGCGACCGACCGATTGACCTTTCTCCGGGTGCGAAACTTTGTCTGTGTCCCGATGAGGACTGAAGGGGAACCAAGGCCCGCCGCCGGGTGTTGGGGAACCGGAGAAAGGTGTATCAAGAGAGAGAGACCGGAGAGGCAAAGCGGCTAGAACCCCTCTTCCGCCGTCCTCTCCCTACCCGCCCGGCTCCTTTTCCCGCTTCTTCTTCTTCGTCGGCGCTGCCTCTCTCGGTTGGTCGGCCGAGCACCGGGACACGCGCGGCACCGGGGAACCTCGCGCGACGCGCAACCGTCGCTCGGTCTGCCCGAGTTACCCTTGATGAGTCGCTCCGTGGGCCTATTTCGCGAAAATCCTCGTTAGGCTTCTTCCTCCGCCGCCTCGCGACGTGGTAACCCGAGAACGAACGGCGTCGCAAGGTGGTGGACGAGCGAATCGAGGTGTGCACGTGGAAAATCCGCGAAGGCGGTGCACAATAGAAGTATAAACCTAGCCGTCGGCGGGTCAAGGTGGATGTAGGTCCGGTCCACATCTCTCTTCGTCACCTTCTTCGCCTTCTACGGCTCGCGCCTGCCGATCGACCGTTAACCGTCACCAGGTGCATTCGACGGATGTAGCGTGCGCTGGGAGACCCTTCGGTCGTCTCGGTCGGATGAGGTCACTGAATGACGATTGAGTGCAGACAGTTGATCTCGGTGATCTCATTGTAACGCGTTCTCGTTACTTACTCCCGATGAAATGACAGAAATCCGGAAGGCCTGAGTCTCAGATCTGTCTGAAAAATCCTCGACAAGTTCAATCAGTCCTGCCGAGTTGAAATATTAGTTCCGTGGACGGTAATATATGTAGACCGAGCGTTGAAGAGCGGGGGTTCGAGATGCACGTAGAAAGGGATGTACTCTTCGTATTTTGCGTCTCGTTCGCGCATAGACGTAGGTCACGCGAGTGAAAGAGAACGCAAGAACACAAAACAGAGTGCGTCCTTTTCTACGCGCACCTCGACTCCCACTCCTCAAATAAAGGCAAACGCTCGGTCTAGATATATCGTGTGTGTATGATCGGTTCTATGTTAAACCTTTAATTCTACAACATACGTATTTAACATAGGAGCTAACTCATAGTTTGATATATAGGATAATATATAGGAAATATATATGATAAATAATAACTAATAAGGTAACATAATAACTTCAATTCTAATGATTTATTGTGTTATTATTGTTTAATTCTATAGTTTATTTCTGCTTTTGTCATAATAATTTCTTAAATTTCCGCTTTCGCTGTTAATGACGTAAAAAATAGGTTATTTTCAATATTTATAAAAATTAATAATCAAAATATCGAGAACATTTATAGCTTCAAAGTAGCATTTATAGCTTCAAGAAATTAAATTAAAGAGTAGAAATTAAATTTGTAGAATTAAAGGTTCAACACATACACAGAGAGAGAGAGAGAGAGAGAAATTAACATATAATATATAGTATCGTCAAAAAATAGATTTTTACTAATCTACAGTCCTTTTAAGTAAGCATAAACTATTCTTAATAGCATTAAAACAGCATCAAAATTTTGACTCAAGAAACAGCTCTGTTAATGTAAATGAATTTTCTGTTGCCTAAGAGCCAAATAAAAACTTGGTCTCAGAGGCAAAAAGATGTAGCTGATCATGTAGGAGATTTCGGCAAACGTTAAAACATTTTCAGTTGTCTCAGCTTTTAATGAAGCTGAATGTCGTTCAGACGAATGTACTCAGTCGTGATAACGGAAACTGAATTTTCGTTTGTTCTATCGTGTACGTCCAGCTACCCATCCGTCATCTTCGAGATCGTCGATCTTTAGGATTTTCAACGTCGGGAGTCATTAGTGTTTGTCAATGACGCACTCTCGCACTTCGGCACATACTCCCGCGGCCGAACAGAAGTCGCCGATTCTTCTCCACCGGTGAAGGGTGAGGGGACCGGGCCACTCCCAAATGAAATCTACATATTCATGACTAGTGTCCTACTGAAAAAATATGACACTAGGAGTCGTCGGCTCGTGACTACGCTTATTGCGCGGTATGCGGGACACCTGTTATCGTGCTCTCAATGAACTCCGCGGAGTTTGGTGGGGTTAACCGGAGAGGGAGAAGTACTGTTCCCGAAGCCGCGCTTCGGCGAGGTAGGAGGTAGTTCGCATTATAGGTGCCGACCCGAGGACCTACATTCGCCGGCACGGTGAGGGATGCCGCACGATCACAGTGAGGACGACGCGCGTACTCTCCTCTCATACTTCCCTCTCCCGCCTTCCCCCACCCCTCCCCCGTTCTCCGTGTCTCTTTCTCTCCGGGTCGAGGAGGCTCCGTCTCTTCTCAAGTATTCGTGTCGGCGCTGGCCGACTGACTTAGCCGAGTGATTTTCGAATTCCACGCCGCCGAGATTCCTCCGGAGAAATTATTGTTCGTCCCGACCCCCCTCCCTCCCTCCCGACCTGCCCCCCTGCGTGCATCTCTGGAAAAAACCTTTCCTGTAAACAACCACATGTCGCGCCCGCGGCACTCGGAGATGCTGAATAATTCAGCGGCACGCGGATCTTCAGTTTTTCGATCACGGAACAAGCGTATGTATATATAAAATGCCGTGAATTTTAATAAGAATTGTGAACTCATCAGCAACGAGGTGCGCGAGATACGCCCGCCGACGGTTGGGAGTAGCAGGTGATTTCCGTGATATACCGCTTAAGTAATGCACAAAGTAATCCGGCGATTCGTCGTACGCAATTTTATCGAGTAACGAAATGAAAGATAATTCCTCGGTGACTTCTTCGCGTTCACTTTGCGGCCGTGGATCGGCACACATCGGCGCTACAGGCTCACCGTGACATTTCTCACAAAGAACCGCACGCGAAAGTCATTAACGATCGACGTATGGATTGCGCGATTTTCTTCCCGTTTTCCCGGCGGGCGGAGAGGGGAAAAAGTCGTCTCTCATTGCATTTATGTACAAGGGAGACACAATTCAATTAATGTAACTGAACTTTCCGTTGCATGGCTGCCGGACGAAAATTCGTTTATAGGGATAGTTGAAAAGTATATAATATAGGAACGGTAGAAAAATTCCTATAGGAAGTCAATTGCTCTCGGTCGTCTTAACGAATATTTAAGAGCAATGTTCGTATATTGACTTCTTAATTTCACTATTTAATTAACTTTTTAATCGTACATTAAATTTATGCTAAATAAAGAATAGAAAAGATAATGTATCGTAAGAAAATACCGACTATTTTGCGTTCAGTAAGTGTTCAGTAAGTAGACAGTGCTAACTTCGACTTAAATTACTTCAGTTTCGGCATGGTCAATTTTTATCCAGTCGTACATGTGTGTAAATGGTGTTTTGATTAATACGACGTTAAAATTAGGAAAGCTTCCAACTGCCTTAACGCTGAATGTTCATACGAATGCTCTCAGTCGCGGTACAACAGGGATATATCACTTCCCGCGAGCGAGTTTTCATTTTTCTCTTATCACTTGCTTTTCACTCGCAGGAACGGAAATATCTTTTCCCGGTCGACAACAACGATATCGTGGCGTCGCGCTGCGCGCGAAGCCGCGGAAGCGTATCCTCGTCGAACGCGGAACAATCCAATCTGGGCAATTACGCGGCGAGCGAAGAATCGGAAGACTCACCGCTTCGGCACGAGGAAGCAGCGCGGTCGTTTGTTAAACATACAAATTGAACGTCAGAACGTAACCGGCCGCTTCGCAACGCGCAAGACCAAATTGCCAGTTCCGTCCGAGACGCGTACGAAATCGTGCGAATCGCACGGAGAATAATAGTGACATTACCTGAAACGAGCCGCGCGCCGAGAATTTCCGATTCTCGTGAATACCGAGAAAGTTGTATCGGCGATACCGCAAAAATTGCCGTCGCGAGTTGCGCGATTGCGGTTTCGAAAACGTAATCGTGCGCGCAATAACAGGCATTCTTCAACGGACGACCTTACACTTGTGCCTTCCGATGATCGAGCATGCGTGAAGTTTTATCGGCGATACACTGAGGACTTATAAAAGTTAAAGGCTTGGACTTTGGTCATATTCTTTTCTCACTAACACGCGAATCGATAGCGTCAGGCTGTTTCCCCCCCCCTCTCTCTCTCTCTCTGATGAAAAGATTCGAAATTCTCATGAAGGATTAGGGACAATCTACGAAAAAAACATGCGGCTCCAAATCCCGGAAACCGAATTCCAGCTTGATTAATTGCACTTGAAGAGTCAATTGTACGGCCGATAGAGAATCGACGCAATGAGATGGAAAATAAGTATATACGCGTATCGAATTATATTCATTTATTCCGCATCTCCGGCGACGCGATCATCGATCAAGCCTTCGTGGAATCCAAGCAAATCAACCGCGCCGATCAATGCGTCAACAATAAGAAAATAACACGCGCTACGTTTCATGAAAATCTTTCCATCATCTTTCGAACGATCGTCCGATTCCGCGTCTGTGAAATGATTGATTCTTCAAGACGATGACGTCATCATCGACGCGAGCCCCCGATATCCTCGAACGACGAGCGCAGCTCGAAATCGATCAAAATAGCCCGACTCTCTCGTGCGTCTTCGTCGTTCGACCTCTATTTCACCATTCATCGTAGTCTTATCGTCTTCATTCAGGACACACGCGTCATCGTCAATTATCAATGGTAGCCCGAGATGCGCCAGTGCTCCCAATGGCGCACCGAGTTCCGCGGATGCCAGGGAAAATTGAAACGGCAATTACGGGGCGGTTATGGTGGTTCCACCGTTAGGTGCTCGCGCTATGCACCATCGGCCGCCGCAACGCCGACTAATATTACGTTTACTGGCGGTAAAACATCTGCCATTACCATCCCGGCCCGGCTATCGGCTTGCATAATCTCAATACGGTTATATATACTGTTAGTTCGCGCAGATGTTCGCCCGCGAACACTACCCTTGAAGCCCGGGATCAAATTGCAAGTTCGTAAACACGGCGCGATGCCGGGGGCGGAAGCCGATATTTTAGCCGAACGAACGCTCACGCGGAGGGACAACCTCGCGGAAACTGCGGACGCTTCCCCCGGAGGAGAGCGGAGCGGCGTAAGGAAACCTAAGTCAATGGACGGTGCACGGAAGAAACAGTTTGGTGGAATTTATTTCTGAAATGAATAAAAACGCGGTTTTTCGTCGAAGGAGACCGAATTTCCGGTTATGAGAGCCGAAATTGATTCTTAAGCGCCAGAAATTCTGTTTCCTTCAACCGAAACGCGAAATCTGGTTTGTTCGTTTCAAAGAAATTCAAGCAAATTGTTTTCTTCTGTGTGTGACAAGCCTTATCAGTTGTCATATTATTTTTAGCTGAAATTTACTGTAAATTAGTTAACAATCGCTGTGCTCTCCACGACTGAGTTGCAGTTTCTTTGACACATTAAATAAGCGATGATGAGATTTTAAATATATTTATGTTATTAAACGATGTTTTCTTATTACTTTGGTAGAAGAATCTGTGCAATTATCTGCGATGTTTTATATCATTTAAAATAAACTTATACATTTCGGGGCATTTTTTTATATCCTTATAGTTTCTCCTTCCGTTATACGGGAACGTTATATCAATATCGTAAATTCCCGCTCGACAAATATAAATATTATGTATAATCCAGATAGCCAAAACCGTGCAAACAGATTTCGAGCGGAGTCTGCTACAAATTTTTCATAGTAGAAAGGCAACAAATCTAATTACACAGGATCAGTTCTATCTGATTATGTTGCCAAACTGCCGTTAGAAATGTGAAAGAACATGCTGACAGGTAATGCGAGCAGATTGGTGGCTGAAACTGAGCAGAGCTCTGTATTAGATCGGTGATTATCACTGTCGTCATAATCACTTAATCACTCTACATTATTAGCATCTCTGTAATTTAAGTACCACAAATTATCAACACTAATAATAAAATTATTGAGATACAGTAATTTATTACTGACCGGTCAATAATATTCTTCTATAAGGGAATACAATATTAATGATCAGAAAATTCCCTCATTTTAGATTATTTTAGATAAATTCTACCAAACAGTTTTTTTCTATGTATAAATCCAGCTCAACACGTAAAGAATTTTTCATATTCATATGAATCATATGAATCTATAAAATCACGATCGATGATATTCAATGGGAATTCAAACGGATAAAATCGACGATTTTACAACGTCCGGACGAAATGCGAATTTCTGGTACCCTCTTCGGGATTACAACTTCGTGTACAGTTAGGCCGATCTCGGGGAAACGAAGATGGATTTATGTGTTCTCCAGTTATTAACCTTACCGGTCAAGCGTCATTAGGGGATACGATGAGGTTACGCGGGATGGAATTATCTGAGCAATTTGAATTCACGTATCCCACGTCACCACCGTGGTAATTCTACATCGGGATATTCGACGCGTGCACGCGCGTGCATGTGTGTGTTTGTGTGTGTGTGAAATGTGCATTGGAGAGATGAGAACTTGCCGCGCGACAGAAAGAAATTTTACGAAGATTTCAGCCGAATCATCTGCATAATCGGCCGCGCGTGACGACGAACTCGGCCGACGGTCGGCCGAGAGCGGACAGGCTATTATTTATTATCGTTCTTTTGCGAATCCGCGTGTGTTAATTAAGAATCGAACGTTCCTTCGATCGCGATAATAAGAGAGGAATCCGTGCTTGATAATTCGCGGGTAGCCTCGCTAACTTTCACTCTTACTCACGCGATTGTCGGCCCTTCTCTCTTTCCGCCAGAATGATCCGCGGCTCGCCGCGACGCAGATCGACGCAGCTGTGTAACGTCGTAGGGAATCCTTGCCGCTGACGAAATTTCCGCGATCTATCGATCGATGATGCGTTTGGCGAGAATAATGACGGGAACATTTTCGAAGAGACGCCATTTCCCTGTCGAGATTCTTCTAACGTCTTTCGGCGTACATATAGGCCGGTATTCATAGGGCAGATTCCGCTTAACATTCGCAACGACGCGAGCGATGTTCTATCTTTATTCAACATCCGGCGAGGAACAAAGATAGAATGACGCTCGCGTCGTCGTAAGTGGAACCCGCCTCTAGTCGAGTCTTGTATTTAAGGCGGTCTTAAGTTTATCTTCACATGCCGTACGGCTCATTTCATTAGCTACGAAATATCTGAAGATGAACTTAAGATGACGGTCTCAAATATAAGATCTGACTATAAATACTAGCCGGTAATTATTTAATTATTTTACGCTTGGCTAAGTTTACACGTACATGAAGTATCATCGCGTGATGGTGCTTTGCGATCATACTCTCGTAGATCTTTCCATTTTCTCATCCGTACATTCGAATGCAGTAAATAATTATTCATCATTAATACACACAGACCGGATTCGTGTATCGGGTTGAACCAAATTTAATTTATTTTAAACTTTTCGAATCTTAATAAAATGTGGCAAATGTGACAGCCAATAGAGATATCAAAACATAATTTATTCCATATCCATTGAACAATCATTTAATATGGTACTTTCAGATAGGGTGGTGTTCAGTTCTTTATTTTCTACACTACTATTTTTGATGTCCTCAACTTTGCTGTCCTTCGGTGAGCAAATGGTAGGCTTGCTAACGCAGGCTAGAGTGGCGCAATTTGCAGGATTATTCATTATCTTTGATTGCTTCTCTTTTCTTTGCAACATGTCTTTCAAGTGCACTTTCCCAAATCTTCGAAACTTGAATCGAGGTAGAAGTTTCAATTCGCCATTCCATGTCCTCAACATTTCGCATTGCGTTGGAATTAAGATATCAGGAATTTCTGCGTCAAAGTAACATTGAATCATACACTGTACATAATTTAACAACATGACTTTGTCAAGGAAAGAGTATAAGTACCAATTCCACAAGTATCAAATTCTACTTGCTCTTTCATCTTGGTCATTCTTAATAAATCTTCTCTACTAGCATGTTGTCTGCCTCTCTTTCCTCCTACAGAGTGCTTAATCCCAATTTGTTCCAGTTCCTCGTCATTTCTTCTAATATACCTTTAAACAAAATTAACATATACAAACATATAAATGACAATTATGATCAATCTAATAAAAACCAAAATAACAAATTCTATTTGAAATACTCAAAATGCTTCAGCGGAAACTTCACACTTACTTTAAAAGTAGTTCTGCTGTGAGTTCTGAAGTATATGGACACAAGTCAGGAACCATATTTTGTTGAATCCACATCATTTTCTCCCCTATCAAATTTTGTTTTATCATACCAACCGTTTTAGCTTTTTGTCTATTTGACAGTCTGGAAAATAAGTGTTTCACATGTATTATATTTACTTTGAAAAACAACGATTGAATTATATCTACTACAAATGTAAAGTTTTATTATTTACCTTTTATTTTTTTTCACAATTGCAATGGTCTTACGACTATTTGGATGTAGAATCTTCTTAACCTTTGCGAATTCCTTTTGCATTGTTAAAGACTGAAAGCATGGCAAAAATGTGAGTCGGTTATAAAATAGTCACTAATTTTTTATATCACTCATTATGTAATATATGTTTTTACCGTGTTTATATACTGTATCGATAAGCAGTATCTTCTTAATCACAACGACTTATAAAAGTAATAAATAATTTTTAATAATTCCATATAAACTATCGTAGACATTGAACTATATAACAAACTAGAAGGAGCACTGGTGTAATGGAAGCCGTGGCCTGTAAACTCCGTATCAGACTACGGATTGGAGATTAGGTTGAATAGAAATTCAACCAATCAGTGCAAAGTTCACTAAATTTCACTAAACTTGAGTTTAGTTAACTTTGCAGTGAGTGGCCAAATTCAATTCAATCTCAATCCCTAATCTGTAGTCTGATACGGGCTTAAGGCCTTGTATCCACGATAAACGTCTCGGACAGAGTTGTTGGCCTGATGTAAAAGTTGCTAGAAACTACTGAAAATTTTAGTATCTTTCAAGCATCTACCAACATAAATACTAGATTTTAGTCTGAAATCGAAATTGCGTTCGGAAGTACACACAGTGTGTACATTATTAGACACCATTCTCAATAATCATTAAGTGATATGAGTTTGGGAATGTACCTTTAGGTCGCCTACAACCATTATTGAGAGAGAAAGAGAGAGAGTTCTTTTAGGTTATCATGCGAGGAGGTGCCTCGCTTAGTGACGTTTCTGTCACACTGCCTTGTCAAGTTTTCCATTGTTTATTTCAGCATGACATATTTAAACCAACCGGATTATGTGCGTTATATATGCAACTGCGGTTCCTTGAAACCTATATCAAAGATATATTTCTGCCGACACTGCTTGAAGATACGATGCGGCTATTGTGTCTGTCAGGAGGTACGTTTCTTACAATTTTAAGGCAAATATAATGAAATATACAACGAGGAATTCAATTAATAATTACATTTCGTATAGATATATACTACTAAGTATATAACACGTTTTTCATCATTATTACATCCTTATTGTACAGGTGGACTCTCATTACTGTCCTAATTGTATGGAAAATTTACCATCGTCAGAAGTACGCCTTAAGAAGAACAAGTATGTTTCTATACTTTGTGTTTCATATTATAGGCGTGAGATGTTATAGTAACAATAATGTGCTTACAGATGTTCCAATTGCTTTGACTGTCCTTGTTGCTTTCAAACATTATCTACAAGAGCAGGTCTAGCACCTGTGAGAACAATATTAACATCATCAGAAGCAGAAGAAGCCAAGGATGTTAAGGCTACGCCTAAAAAGGTATATTATCTTTTCTGTTCGCTGTGTCGTTGGAGCTCTCGTGATGCAGGCATACCTGATCAATCAGTAGGTGAGGAGAGATTTTGTTGAATAATTTCGCTTATTATTTAACTAGAAAGTTTTATACTATTTTTAACCAGTCATCTGTAGTATTCGAAAAAATAAGATGTATTTTCTATACTTACATAGCAACTGGAGGTTGGCCTGAGCTAGAAAATCCACATACGACGCGAATCAATGCTCTCATTGATTATCACAAAATATTAGCGTCTATAGAGAAGCAACAGTGCGAGAGAAAAAAGTTTCGTCCGAAACGCTCATTTATGCCAGCCGTGAGTTTTCATTCGATTACGACTTTGTTCACAATGTAACGCATTTTTACAACTAACACTGTTTATAACAGACAATGTACAGTTTCACATCCGCTTTGGTTCGTAAACGAATCGGGCATCCCATCAAACCGCCGGCACAGTCTCAGTCAACCGCTCAACCGGCACCATCCGTTGCGAGCGAGGAAGTGGAAGAATTGCCGAGCGATATATTCACGGAGCCTGTGGATATAACTAAACGTAAGAAGTTGTTCAGTCTCTGATGCGAATGATCTGTGATCATTGAAAGTACGGGCATTGCTCGAAATATATATATTCGTAAAATCTTGTGAGATAGTCACTACGTTGGAGCAAAGATTGCAACACCCGGATGCGCAGGCCGAGAAGATAAACGAATTGCGTCCACAGCACAGGCAGTTTTTAGTTAAGAGGTCCCAGCGTTGCCGAGTGTGCGAGCATAACGTCAGCAAATCCGATCTTTGCCCGCAATCTACAAAATTCAAGATTCTGTTAGCCGCGCTGTAAGCAATAACGAATACGTTGAAGAATCGATCAATAGCGCATACATGAAAGAATACTGATTATATCGTATATACATTGTACATACATAACGATCAATCGGAATTGCATCCTTCAGTTATCATATCCCGGAGGTAAAGATCGTCACTTGCGAACCACTGCGACCGGGCAAAGCGAGCGAGCTGCTCCTGAAATTCTGCAACCCGACGCAGCATCAGACTCAGATAACTATATTGCCGCTGGACACCTCGTTGTCCACCTCGCTACTTGAGGAAAAGGAGGATCTTAAGCAGGAAAATACGCAACAAGTAATGACAAATTGGGATCTTACAGTGAGATACGCTCTAAAGCGATTATTCCAGAGTGGATTCTCTGATGCGCTGACTGATGATTGCAGGGATGCGAGTCTCCAAATTTACTGCCGTCTACCGTGCGACAAGTGCCCGTGACGGAAGATCCTAAGTCGATAAAAGTTGCACCCAATGCGGATCTGGTGTTGCCTCACAGCCCGCTGATCCTACCGCCAAGGGACGACGCCGCCGAGTACGATGATACAAGTGATAATCACAATTTTCAGGACGATCCGAAGTAAGTATAGTATGATGGGAGAATCGTTAGTATCGGCTGCATCCAGCGAACACACAATTGAGCGATCGACTCTTGGAAGATGGATGTGATTGGCAGACATGAAAGTACACACTAATCGTACATGATTGTTGCTGGATGCATTGACTCCTCAGATCTTATTAATTTCGTACAACTTGATATTTTCGTCAGCGACCTTCGAAGGTTTCAAACTTTTTCCGTTACCCGCCACCGGACACTACAGAACGTTTGTATATATTAACAAGATGTGTATTTTAGCCAATGAGAAATCTGGTGTCGCCGATTTCTTTAATACGCGGCATAATGTACTTGGAACTGTTTTAATCTGCTTAATATTTCGTCTTTTTCTTTCGTTTTCTCGTTTTTACTTCATATTCCTTTATCTTGTGATCTAACAAATGTATTCATTAATTTATCTATATTTTATATCCAGAAGGAATTTCTATTCTACCGATTATTTAATAATAATTGTTACTCAAATGATTGTTCTCAGCCGTTTGTATGCTTAATCTGTGAATTGTTCTTTTAAGGCTCGTAGTGTGGCGGAAGGGAAATAAAGCTGTGATACGTTTACACGTAACCCCATATGAAAATAACGAGAACGAGGAGCCGATAACAGTCGGTTTTGTCATGCAACACGGATATGTGAACACTATCGCAACGCTCGAGCATAAACCGCCGCAGAAAGTAGATGTGAAAGTCAAATTGTATCTCACCGTTGGTCAGCTGGTCGGTGAAGCATAATTTTCTTCGGTTTTATCGTAATATATAAATATGTGAATTAATTACAAATGATATATAAGATCCGCACTAATCATGTAATCGTAACAGCTATATCACACGAATGCTTCGTATATTTTTGCCACAACGGCTGATTACATTGTACTAAGGATATTCTACACATACTCGACTGTATAATTACTATTGCAATATTTTTTAGTAATTTGTGGTCGACCTCTGACATTAACTTATTTGTAATTATCCATCACGAAGTTACAACTATTTAGTGTGAAGCTGTTTGCTCTTAATAAACTGTAACGATAATAACAAAGAATAAATAAAACTTATAATTCCTAGATTTCCAAGAGATATCTGTACAATGGAGAAGGACCGTACCGAACATCATATGCCATTTTCATTTTTTCTTAATATTTATTATAAGATAAACGATACAGAAAGGCATAATAATTTATAGCCTGCGTCCACGACGACCTCCCTTTCTGCGCGTGGAATCTGACGGAATCGGAGTAACATCCTCGATACGCCCAATCTTCATGCTCGAACGGGCCAAAGCTCGCAGAGCAGACTGCGCACCTGGTCCAGGTGTCTTCGTTTTGTTGCCTCCCGTCGCTCGCAATTTAATATGCAGGGCAGTGATCCCTAAGCTTTTGCATTTCTCTGCAACATCCTGCAAAGAAGAAACAGTATATTAACGATTGATTTCTGTCACTTCTCTCTTATACTGTATAAGTGAAGCGTGGTTTAATGAATGTCTTCTTTTCTCATAGGGAAGAAAAAGTATAAGGAATTCCATTATTCCCAAATATGAGAAAGAATTTGCTTTTCCACAAACATGAACGCGCCTCAGATTATAGATTTATCATCTAGGTACTGCCTGGATGTGGAAGTTAATGTAAATTATCCATTTCTTCAACCAGTCTAAGTGTAATCATGCCAAATAACATACTTGAGCCGCAAGCATAGCAGCGTAAGGCGAAGCTTCATCGCGGTCCGCCTTAACTTTCATGCCACCAGTGACTCTAGCGATCGTTTCTCTGTATGGTACATGGGTCAAAAAAATATATATTATCATACACACGTGTAAAAATATTAACCCTTATCGGTCGTACGTCACCTCTCACGTGACAACAATACTTCGTCGCTGCGGTCGTACGTCACGTAGAAGGTAACAAGTTCGCATATTTACCGAAATCAGCTACAACCTGGTGAGAATCACGCATAAAAAGCTAGCGTCCGATAAGGGTTAATCCGTAGTCAGCAAGTAATCGAATACGGTACGAACCTTCCCGATAAATCGGTGACATGCACGAAGGTGTCATTGAAACTCGCGAAAATGTGAGCTACTCCGAAAACCACTTCACCTTCGCGAAGTTGAGGTCCGAGGGAAACCTGCACCTCCTCCTTCTGTACTTTCCCTCTTTTCGGCGGCATTTCTACGCAAGATTGTGTGTATTAAATTATGAATTTTTTAACTCGAATTTCGCAAGGTATTAAATTGCTCGTTGGAAGATTATCAGCGTGCACAATTACGACAGATTTTGAGGTTATGGTTTAACAATACACAAGAAACGGGTACACGATTAACACGAAAATTCATCCGACTGCATCCGAGGAATGCGATAAATATAAAGTGATTCTATATCTGCGGCCTACTTGTAAATATTCGTTTTACAAATTTAACGCCGTAGTTTAGCTGAAAAAACGAGACTCATTACGAAAATACCTGCGATACGTGACTACAGAACCTCTGTCGTCCCACACGATCGACGAAGAAAGTCTAAAGGGTCTTTTCCGGACCAGGCACGGACTGCGCAGAATCGAGTTATATCGAGTTATATCGAATAATATACATAGGATCTGTCCTTTATTACTGCACTGTCTGCACTGGTTCTCTTTTCTTCTCTCATCCCCACCAAATCTTGCGAAAGAGAGGAAAAGAGAATTTCACTGTGAACTTTTGAGGACTCAATTGCGAAATTCAGCCCCGTACAGGGCTAAGTACGTTCATAAAAAAGACTCCAAAAATCTTTTGATGAGCAAATGTAATTTTTCCGAGTTAAGATACGGGAAAGCGCAGATACATCGGAAAATGGAGTCTAACGGCACTTTTATACAATCGATATTTTGCTCCTGTCGGGCATTAATGGATAAATTTATGATTATGAACGTACCCTTATATTTTTCGATGTTCTCAAATTCACTTATTATTTACAATATGGCTCTTATACTTAAATTATTTTTCTATGAAAAATTCTATGAATTTCTATGAAAAATTGTGTTGGAAAATAAAAGTTTGTCTGATTTAATGGTAGACGATCTCGATTCGACTTTCAGGAAATCGATCTTTTCTCTTCAAAAATAGATTTTTTCCATAGAGGATCGATTTTCGATCCGTTGATATATTTATTCATCAATACGTTTAGAAATCACAAGCGATCAATGAGCAGTCAGTGATTATTGGTCTTTATTATTAGATCAACTGGTTGAGTACATTTATTTGAAAAACTTCATTTTGAACTATATTATAGTTTATTTCAAACATACGTAACAAAGGATGCCACATCGGTGAAACATATACACCTGTGGACAACAATTCGTCCTAAATTAAATTTAGTGAAGCAATTCCAAGAACATACTGTGATTTATCTACAATATTTACATATATGTACATTCATATACCCAGACAGCGAAATGTATTCAATCTGATGTCATGCATTCACAATAGTCACAAAGTGAGGACAAGAATACGTACAAATGCGTGCGTATATGCTGCTCAGATGTCCATGTCATGATGTTGGTAAAATATTATTCTGAATGAATACGGAGAATACAAAGAACTCTACAAAGAACATTTTACGATGCGTCGCAAATGCCACGTCGTCAATCGTTGAGGATGGCAACTACTAGTTGCTGGAAAGTGCTATTTTGGGTTGCGATGAAGTATTTCGGTCGCCAGGAAGTTAAAAGTTGGGCTACTCTCCTTCAGCAACCATGACTTTCTATTGTAACCGAAAATACATTTCGTATCTAGTAGCTGCCATCCTTCGGCGACGGAGTATTATAATGTTCTCTTAAAAAATCAAAAGATTTTGAACGACAGGCAAAATTTAACGGGCCGTAATACCCACCAAAATAATAACAAGGCGACTCGACTTATCGTTTTATTATATAATTTGAAATCAGAGGGATCTTTTGCTTTGTTGTTGAGCCCTACGTCTGATTTGTCGACATTACGTCTTCTGCTGGCCCCTACAAAACGTTCCCTGAAATTTTATTTTATACATTTTATTATCATTCAACGTTAAAATTTATTGAATTGAATTTATTGAATTAAATTTTACACATTTTTCATAATCGTAGTTTTTTAACTTTTATACGTAAAATATTTCGCCTGTCATTACAAAGCATACATTGTGATATTTATTTTTTTTAATATTACAATATTTTTAAATTCTTATCAGTTTTGTTTTATACGAATTTATTAGCACAAGTTTATTATTTGTAGGAAGACTTCCTTTATTTTTCAGATATTTTATATGTTACATAACTTTCGTACGGATATAACTTTTCTCTCACACTACACTCAAAAGAAGACGAGAAGATCTCTCTCCTTTCATTTTTATTCCGTACAAATATACATTTATTTATATGTGTAAAAATAATATATGTGTATTTGTAGTTTTTGTTGGCAAAATACTTAGTAACTAGTCAGAATCGGAGTCAATAATAACAGAGTGTTCAGCACTTGAGTTCGACTTCGTGTTTCTAGAGCTCTGTAGAAAAAAAAGTCATATCTCCATTAGATACATAGATAAGACATCACAGCCGACGATATGTTCCTCTTATAATTCACAGTATGTTCTTATACTATATATTAGTTTACCGTTTTTGTGGTATTTCTTTCATCGGTTTTTCCGCGACCACGACCCCCTCTGGATCCTCTACCACCTCTGGAACCTCTACCTCTTCCTCTAGTTTTAATCTGTGTTGTTACATTAACATCATCACTGTTGTCATCACTATCATTTATTACACCCACATCGCGAGCTTGTCGACCAATTTTTGGATTCTTTGATGCGTCGTTTAATATTCGTACAGCCTATAAAAAAACATATTGATAAACGGAAATATGACATGTTACATACATAAACTTTCTACACGCCATTACATTGTCCTTTTCCTGTTGCTCTTCCGAAAGTCTTTCGTTGCAAAAGTTTTTAATCTCTTTACGGATATCCTTCTCTGTCGTAGCGTTTTGCTTCTTTACGTAATCAATAGTTCTTTTCATTTGATCTCTGGTGAATGAAAACGTGAAAAATGACTTGGATACGCAGAATAGAAATTTCCGAAATATAAATTGCGTCGGTGACTTACCTTACAATGTTCTTAAAGGCATCTATATCGCCTAGATCAACATATCGATTTAACGCTTCATTTAATGAAGTCACGGTTAATACTGTTAACTTGTCTTTATTCTCTTCCCTGTCAAAATATTTCTTAATTCCTCCCGGAACAGTCCTTGTCCAATCCTGCCCTATCTGCGTGAAAATAATAGTTGATGTTAGAGCACAAAATAATGATGATAGAGCACAAAATAAAATCGAAATAAAATGTAACGATTCACGAGAAGAACTAAAAGTATTTCTTTACATTTCCTTGAAATAATTCTGTGATATCTTCTACATCTTCAAGTCCCTCTTTAATGGCAAGTCTTGTTTTCTCCACACCTTTTATTTTACGGAATATAATCATCTCCATGGGATTGGCAATCTCATCGCAATACTTTCGTGATAAACTAGAAGTACATATTTTTCTTTTTTTTTTTGGATATGCACCGAATAAGAGAAAAGAAATATAACGAAATAAAGTAATATTTTCAAACCTTAGAGTATCAAATACTTGATTGTCATCTTCGTAGAATATTCTAAGTCGAATTAAAGGTTGGAGTGGTTGACCAGGATATCCTTTATATCATATTCATTTTTGAGAAATATAAATAATATTAAGAAATTAAATATACGTGAATAGTTGCATAAAAAGTAATTTTAAAGTAATCAACATACCTGTAAGTTGCTTAACAACTTTAGGCATAAGATTATTTTCGATATATTGATCCACGTACTGACATACGGCTTCTGCTATTGAGACTCCTATTTTGATGTCGTGATCGCGAAGAATCATGTTATCAAAAACGAATGGTCGAGTACTCTTTAATTTTAGGCTTTTCATCTTAAAATCCTTTTTATTCACTTTCAGAAGACCCACGTGTTTAGATTTTGATTCACCTTCACACAAAGAGGTGGCAATGGAACTCCCTATAATATTTAATTAATTTGTAACAATACTAGGTAAATATAGAAATAGACATTTGTGTATAATTTCATAAGAAACGTATAATTTTACCTGGCTGGCAAATATGGTATCCACCTTCTGCATTGAACTCAGGAGTAATACGACATTCATGTTCATGACCCCAAATAATTAGATCAAGGAACTTTTGTAGTTTACCTTCAGGTATATAAGCATGATCGCCGTGTTTGACACGATTCTGATGTAAAACAAATATGTTGAAGGTCTCCATATCTTTTGCACGTAGTAATTCCACCTGTTGTCAAGAAAGATTGTATCAATTATACCAACTGGATATAAAACCTATTAAAGTGAATATACCTTGTCGTCCCTGTACAATCTAGATAATCTTTGGTCATTAATATAACTCAAACCATAGAGTGCAATGTAAGTGTCATTTTTCTTCAGAATTATGGGAGGTATAACTACATTAGTAAGATCTGTCCATTTTCCAAAATAATTCACTAGTCCAGTAGCTGATAACACATCCATCGATCCAACAGTACCAAAACCTAATATAGATCACAAATTGTATGTTATGTTTACTGAATATAGAACAGTGTATGAGGAATTAACACTAGAACCACGATTGGGTTATTTTTGACCCACTTGCAGATTCTTTGTTCCCATTCCTTTGAATTTTCATCACTAGGAAGTCTTTTTTATCATAAAACAATTAAACAATGCCATAACATTCAAAGAAGTCCACGAACAATTGCAAAGAAAGAAGATGGAAGTGAAACGAAAATGGCTAAACCACAGTTCTGGGAGGAAAGAAATTCCCGTGGTTCTGGTGTCAAACAAGTTCTATACTTGGATCATCGTGATTTCCATGAATGGTAAATACTGGTATTGAAACGTTCAAATTGGGATCTTCATAATTCACATGCTTTTGCGCACAGTGTCGAAACACCAAGTCGGAATCGCTCAGAAATTCCAGTGTGCATTCTCTGATAAAAGAAAAAAAGCAAATTTATTCTCTGCTGTGACATTCTTGTACGAACGTAAATCCTCAATTTTTATTTAAAGTTCCAAGACTGCCAACCTGGTACCCAGGCAATATTTTCGCAGCAATTCCACGCATTTGAGCAACGCGGTCTGCGATGGTTTCGTATCGTGAAACAAATCTCCGCCCAGCAAAATGCAATCGACCTCGTTATCTTTGGCATGCTTCAATATTTCCTCGAAGGTTATGAAACTATCATCAGAATGTCTTCCTGTCGAGGAGAAAGTGACGTCGGGATAATCATACGGTCTTTTATGAGATTCTTCACTGCGTGACAATCATATTTACGTCGGACGCGGAAAAATATCGCGAACATCGAAGACGTACCTCTCTGTTTACTATAGTCGAAGCCAAGATGAATATCAGTGGCTACCAGGATGCTGATGGTATCTTCCGGGTTTATACGTTTGCTGGAGGATTCCGACATGTTTAACGTTTCTTGTACAACAAAAGGCCCTTAATGACAGTAATCGGCACGGTGATCCAACAACAACTTTACGCGCTATCCTCACGATCAAGGCCGACAACTGACATTTCAGAATGGCGCGAAATATACGCGGGACACAAAATCGTGGAGGTGGCGGCCTCCGATGAAAGCGCGCACTGCGATCCGGCAAGTCGGTGGCGCTATCTGAGATGCATCAATCTTTTGAATATTTCCCAACATTCACGACATCAGCCATTCGGCAAGCGGACCGATCATGTTCTCCGGCGGAAATAAGCGCGGCGTCGTAATTTAATCGCCTCTTCCTCGAACGATAACCGACCGTTAGCGCGTGATTGAAGAGCCGCAGTCACGCCGAGACAGTTTAATTCCGTCAACCACGGTCAGTAACTTCCTGTCCTTTACGCGATAACCTCCGAAACTCCGGATTCTGGCTTCACACCGTTCAATCGTGTCCCGATTCCCAGGCCGGAGCGACGTCGTCCGCAATCCGTTCCCGCAAGAGAAGGAGCGCCGTTCGGAATCGAAAACGGCCACATTCGACCACGCCGAACGCGCGCCGAATTCGGAATAAGAAAAAACACGGAAGAATCCTGACATTTTTCGTAACCGTGGCACAGCGTCGTTTCGCGGGGTGGAGGGGGAAGGGGATCATCGCCGGCACTGATTTTTCGATCGCGCGAGAAAGAACCGCCATTACTCGAATCAGGCGACGAGGGTCGACGCGGTTGGCGTGCGAACTCGCCGCCGTGTGCGAATCGAGATAATCGAGGACGGTCGATTGTGCGATACGCGAGGGCGATCTCATACCCGGGAGCGAATGGCGGCGGCGACGGTGGTAGGGGAAGGACGCGAGAGCGCCATCTTACACGCAGCCGTCAGTCGTAGCTACGAGGTGCAGGAGGTGGTCCGCTCGCCATATTTGTTGTTGTCGCCGATGGGGGAGGCTAGCCTGGCGTTTTTGAACTGGCCGAGCTGTCAGATACGTGCGCGATTTCGGGCGTGTGCGAGCTCGCCGACGTTGACCGTGCCCGCGCGCGGCGTACGCGACGACCATCGCGGTGGCTGAGCGCGCAGCGAGCGCGCGCGCGCGCGCGCGCATGCCGTGTATTCGTGCTTAACGTAACGGGGAAACATCGATGGGGCATTTGTGGTGGCTCAGCTGTCCCACTGCTCTGTTGTCAAGTGCGTTACCGTGTGTGTCTATGTTTGTGTTGCACGACCGCTCGCGCCGCTGAGCCGGTTACGCGCACGGGCCCGCTCGTCATCGTCGTCGTCGATGATGCACCTAGTGCTGGAAGACGGTGCGTGAGGAGAGGAGGTGGTAGTGGTGGTGGTGGTGTGGTGGTGGCGGCGGCGCCGCCGGTGGTGCACCGCTGCACGGATATCTCGAGCACATTCGCGGACTCGGGGGTGGAGGTAAGCGGAGCGAGCACGCACAAGGGTTGGAGCAAGCGAGCGCGCGCGCACGCACGCACGCACTCACTCGCGTATGCACATACGTCGGGACGTATAAATGTGTGTGTATATATATATACACGTGCGAGAGAGAGCGTTCGCGCGCTCCTGCGAATATAATTTCGAGGAGCATTGCGAGCATCGCGGAGTCGTAGACGTAAGAAAGAGAGGAGTGAACAGGTAGAGGGGGGGGGAGGGATGGTGAGAGGGGTTGCACGGGGTCGTTGCACGTTCTTGACGCGGGTCTGTCGACCTGTCAAGGTCCACGCGCGCTCCATCGCGTCATCGATATATATCGCCCCCCCCCCCTCCTCTCTTTCTCTCGAGTATCCACCTCGGCTGACTTCGAACGTGCGCCAATGTAGCAAGTCGCCCTAACCTACTCCAACGCTCAGTCGCTTGACGTTTCTCCAGCGTTTGCACAAAGCGTACGCCGAGAGCGGCCGATCGTCGGACGCCGTGCGCGTCTCGTCTCCACGAGCGGTACGACGCGCGAAACGCGCGACGGTGCCGCGGCTGGAAAATCAATACGCGTATCTATCCGCGAGATAACCGTGCGAATCAGCTGTTCCTGCGTAACTCGGGCTCCTCCGGCTTGTCGCTCGAGACGCGCGCGCTCCGTGGTCGCGCGCGCCTCGCCGTGCGCGCGCACGCTCGTCGCGCGCGGCGCGAAGATAGCGATCGAGCGGCGGCCTCCTCGCCGCGTTCCTCGCGCGAAAAACTTGTTGATTTCCGCGACCTTATCACGCCGTGTGACACACCGAGGAAAATCCGAGGAGATTGCGATCGTTATCCGCGTTCATATCAGTTACCGACGTTGGCACATCGACGTGCCTTCTCTGTGTTGACGCGAGATCGCTGCGTACGAGGATATATCTTTCGAGTAAAGTTAATCGTAGAAAAGCTCCCCGGTTTCGCGTCGGGTATTTGTTTGTTTATGCGTTCGTTCGTTTATACTCGATTCCCATTGTCGCGCGAGGATCTTCGCGATCGCTCGTCTTTGCACAGAGCTTTGCGACGGTACACAACACCGACTTGTGTTTTGATGTTATCTCCTTTTGTTCCACGCGCCAGTTACACCGTGTGCACATCGCGTCGCTGCAGGCACGCGTTGCCTCACAAACGATCCGCCGCCCTTCTTTCTCACACTCACTTCGACCGCGATTCCGGGAGAGGCGCGAGTGGCCTGTGGAAAGAGACACTCGGGGCTCTATGAAATCATAGGCTGCGTTTCCCTGGCTAGTCCCTCGGTGAACGTAACGAGAAACGAGGGGTTTGCTGATTTATTATCGTGAAATATTCAGTAACCGCCGAAATTTACTTTCCTCGAGGAAGAAGGAAGTTTCCCGCCGTGCCAACGGTCGTGTCCTAGTAAAACCGTTCACTAGGAAAAAAAGAATCATACTCAGCGGTATTTCTCTCTCGGGTGACCTTCGCGAGTCGAATTCGGGGAATGCCGTTGTACGCGCGTGGAACATCTCGAGCGTCGCGAACGTTGCGAATTAGGCTGGATTCAGATTGTCCGTCTAGACGGCGGCAGACAAACGTCCGTCAATCTTCCGTCGAGACACACTTACCGATGCTTGATGCTGGATATAATGCCGAAGGAGGATATTGCCCGAGTTGAAATCTCGACCCGATATTAAACCTTTAATTCTACGTAACAGCAGGAATTAAGATGTCAAAATGGGTTTAATTTTAATTCCAATGATATAATATATTTCTATTTCGGCCAGGCCTTGATGACGTGTCTTCAATTTCCGTCTTTTTAAATTTAAATTTTCGTTCTAACGTCAACATTTTCGAGATAGTAATAAAATTAAATCTGCACATAGAAAAATGAGTACCAATTTTCAAAATTCATATTCTCACACTGAAAGAAAAAAGTGTTACATCCAAGTTAATATTTACTAAGGAATAATGGAGAAATTGTTTTAAAAGGATTAATGATTATTTGAATGTAGTACTTCCCCCCCTCTCTAACGACCTTGATTTTGATATATATTATTATTAAGGACACTATACTGAATAATATATACAAAAAATTTCGGCTCCACTCTCTATAATGCGTAATTATCGAATGCTTAATTTATCAAACTTTTTGTCAGTAACTTTGTTTTTAATTAACAAAGCCCAATAACTGAAACTTTCTGTATGTTATTCAGTATAGCGTCCTCAATAATATATGCCAAGTTCAAGGTCGTTGGAGAGTTCGTTACTCGGTGTAATTCACCGAATATACAGAGTGTCCGATAATTTCCTCGGAATTTGTGATGTGCGGAATAATTGATTTCTCGTTAACTATTATGAATTCTGAAAATTGATGCGACTTTTTCATTTAGTTTCACCCGTTTTACTTGCACGTATAAGAAAATTGCCAGACAGCCGGTATAATTTTGTATAAAGGTAAAATTTGCTCCTATATTTTAATGATACTTGCAAAAATCGAGAATAGAGCACATATAAAAGGTAATTAATTCCTACATAAATGTTATTTCAATATTTTGCGTTGGAGTTGTTAGTTGACAGAAGTGAATTTTTTCATGTATATAAGAGCACGTTTTATTTTCATATAAGATTATATATTCTTACTCATATGGGAATATGAGTTTTGAATTGATACTGATCTTTTTCCTCTGAAGGATTAAAGATCCAAGAGCGAAGTTGACAAATATAGTATCGTCGAAGTAGATTTTTATTACTTTATAGGCCATCTAAATGGGCACAAACTATATTTAAAAGCGTCGAAGTAGCATAAAAATTTGGGCTCGGGCGGATATTCCGATTGAAAAATATTGAAAGATATTTCGACAAAGGATTGACGGACGGTTGCCTGCCGCCGTCCAGACGGATATTGCAAATCTAGGTCTTGTCGGGACGAAGCGAAGAGAAGAAGGAGGAGGAGAGAGTCTCGAGGAGTACAGATGGTTCGTTCCTCTTTGCAGATTTTCCGGAGCACGTCGTCGAAGACGCAACGCGATCGTACCGACGAGACTCGGCGTGGCGGAGACGGCGGGGAACCGTCGCGCTCGTAGTGTCGCGTGTGTTGTCGTTCCGTACGACAATTAAAACTGGCGGGCAATCTGGCTCGGTCCTCCGGCAGCGGCGGCGGCGGCGGTGTCGGTGGTGGACGTAACGCCGGCGGTAGATCCGGCGGTGGTAGTGGCGGCGGCGGAACCGGTAACAGTGGTGGCGGAGGTGGCGGCGGCAACAACAACAACAACAACAACGGAGGCGGCGGCAACGGAAGCGGTGGCGCGTGTTCCAGGAGCGCGGGGGCGGCGGCCGCCGCCGCCGCCGCTGCCGCCGAATCCGGAATCGCTAGCAGCGGCGCCACGGAGGAAGGCGCCGGTCTCTCCGGTCATTTAATCGAATGGGAAGAGAACGACCGTTTCTCGTTCGACGACTCGGATCGTTTCGAGGAGGACTCGTTGTGCAGCTTCAGCAGTGAGCACGAGTCGCTCTGTAATAATTGGAGAGGATGGAGACGACCTGCCGCGACATTCGGCATCGGCAAGAAGCCCTTCGAGGGTGAGTGATTTCATTTTGCTCGACTGTCGACTCTGTAAATTTCCCGCTCGAAACAAGAAAGTAGTATTTTCAGTGAAAAGTAGTATTTTCAGTGTGTCGAAAATGCCACCACACCACGGAGAAAAATAATCCAGAGGGACGGCAAATTTTACGAAGAAAAGTCTACATGAACTATGTTATCACATAAGGTGACTTGGAAAATTGACTTCTAAAGTATTGAACAGTACTTGAAGGACGCCTCATATGTTGATTTATTTGCTGCGACAGTATAAATTTTGCCGCTCCCTCGAATTATTTTCTTCCGTGCATTCAAAATCGCAAGAGATGTTTCATTCAGGCTTAAAGTGGATTCTGTTGCCATGTGAGCGAATGTTTCAATCGATTGGAATGAATATCTTCCTGTGACGGTGGAATATAGAAAACTCCATCAACGCAACTCCATTCCCTAGGCATATTGACATCGAAAATTTACAATCGGCCGCATCATTTCTGAATATTGATGCATCGTGACTGCTGCTTTGGAGCATTGTTGCCAATTTACGAATAATCGGCAACATGACGCACAAATATTCGGGCATAACGCACCTGATCTCAAATTTTCAATTTCACTATGCCTAGGAAATAGGATTGCAATGAAATCAATGAAATTTTCTGTAGAGAAAAAATTGACATAGGTATGGTAAATCGACATACTCATGTTTCTCGGCTGTAAAATATCGAACTCTGTAGGACAATATGAACTTTGTCAATTGTGTACGGTAATAGCTAAAATGGTAGTTTGCGAACGTCTGTTTGCAAACACGTTCCATTGTGTCATTAGCGTCGTTTGATTGATCGTTGTACTGAACTTTTTATGGAGCTATATTTTTTTTGTAAAAATTAAAGTAAATCAGCGGTGGATAATTTATTTGATAATACTATTTTATAATGCAAGTTTTGAACTTTCTAAATTATTTTGAATACCGATCTTTCTATCCACTGCTACTGAACCAACGCAAGAAAAGTTAGAATTGATGTTAACCATTCTGTAAATCGACATATCTGAATTTACTAGTGTGTGTTTCATCTGACATATCTAAATTTTGCCGTGAAATGTTATCTCACAGAATACGGTTGAGGCTACCGGTGATTGATTTTCCCCTATTTGTTTCATTTGTGGTAGTCGGAAGAAAAAGTCAGTAGGATTCTTTTTTAGATAATAAAGAAACATATAATATTAAAGATAACGTGTGAGGATATATAATAAATATACAAAATAATAATTTTCCTCTACGTTAGATTTATCCTTCAATTTCAAGTCGAAGATACTCGACGATTCCGAGCGAAGAATTCGCTCTGTACGAATGGAAAAGTCACTCGAATCCGACTCCGGTGGTCTCTCTACCTTTCAAGTGAGATTTCATTCCAAAAAGTTTAGGGAATAGAGGCTATATTGTAGATTAGACTTAGCAGTGGCGACGACGGAGGTGCGCAGAAGAACGATAAGCATAGCGTCATTGGGGAAATATCGCGACGTTAGGTGACTCCGCGCGTTATGTGCGATACGCAGTACGATTTTTCGCAACGCGATGGCGGCTGCACGTGGGCAACGTGTGTGGTGACCCCGTGGCGGCGGGCAAATTACGTAACGTTTTTACCCGTTATCCGCGTCTACGTATTACAGTTTGCCGTAACTCGCCGCACTCGGTTACACGTGGAAAGCGATGCACGAGGCGCGACTAATTTATTTGCCGGCGGCTCGGCCGACACAAATATCGCGTTAGAGGCGCGCACGTGCCGACCGTTCGTACGACGTGTAAATTCGATATCGTAGAACTCATGGTATCTTCTGTATTTCCCGCGGGACCTCACTCGATTCCGAATGATTTGTATTTCGAGTTGCTGCCGATTCCACGCCTTGTACGGGAATATAAAACGACACTGCAATCTCGCGGGCGTAAACGTAAAATTGCGGACTCGCAAGATCCATCGTTTCCGAATAGCAAGAGCCCCCTGTCTTGAGGGATTAATCTAGCAAAGAGCTTCTCTCCGTATCTTGGAATTACCAAATACACGTTACAAGGAGATGTATCAGGATTGTCCGGCTGGCTACGAGCGCCCGGACTTTCCAATTGACAGAGAAAGAGAGAGAGAGAGAGAGAGAGAGAGACGGACGTTCGGGAAACTATTCGAACGATCAGTCGAGAGACGAGTCATTTCACATACGTGTGTACGTATCTTCTTACGTACATATACGTGCACGTGTAAGTCCGGAATACCCTATACACAGCTCGCGCTGTATCTCAGCCGATGGTCGGAGAGAGGAGAAGAAAAGGAAAAAGAGAGAGAGAGATTTCATCCCGTCCTCTTTCCCCCGTAGCCGCGAACAGCCCTCGTTTTCTTTTTCCGCACGCGGTCCTTGCTCCATGTTGGAACGATCAAGGCCGAGAATAAGAACAAACTGAAACGAGAGAGAATGCGAGGGAGAGAGTAAAACGAAAGGCACTATACTCGCTCTCGTTGGAGAGCGCACTCGGCGCGCTCTCGGATCGAGATTTCGTGCACGTTGCGAGCTGCATTGACGGAGATATAATCTCAACGGATGGATGGATGGATGGATGGGATGGGAGTGCGTCTCGCGGAGGATGAGCTCGAAATCGGGTTTAAGTTCGCCGAGGCAGCCGGGCGAATTCTGTTTTCCTCGTTATTTCGAAATAACAAACAGAGAGTATGCGCTTGTATATTTGTCCGTTTCGTCTCGGGTAATGCTCGAAATAACCGGGTACTCGGGTAATATACCCGGCGCAAAGTCGGGCACTCCAGCGAGTAGCCCCGGCGAAATACTCGCGCCGAAATATCACCCAGGTATCGAGTGCTGCAATATGTACGCGTTGCAGTGAAAGTATTCGAGTCCACTTTCCCGTCTTACGTTCGGACGCATCATCCGCGGCTAGAAAGCGAAACGCTTATGCCTTTCATCGCGATTTATTATTTCCAATCTTGGACGCAATTCATTTGCACGAATCACACACACATACGACGGAAATAAAAAGTAAGATGACGGTTATTTTTATATGTCGTACACGGAAGAAGAAATGCTATTGTGTGTGCACTGAGAAAACAAGTTTTGGTACTTGTAACTGTAATAGCGTAAGTGAAAGAATTGTAGACGGCAAAATTGTTTTTCTAATAAGCATGACATGCATATGGCTACTACTATTTTTGGGGTTAAAACCAGAGGAAAACACGAGTCGAAGTATTGATGCTACTTTGACGCTCTTAAGCACAGTTTACGCCTACTTAGCTTATGGATCAGTAAAAACCTACTTTGGCGATACTGACACTTATTAACTTTTCTCTTCTGAATCTTTAATTCTAGATTTTACTTTAACGGTGTCTTGAACAATATATTTGGATAGTAAAACAGCGGAAACGGAAATTCAAAACATCATTAGTAGGAGTAAATTATAGAATTGAATTATTATAGGCTATTATTAGGATTGAAGTCGAATCTATTTTGTTATCTTAGCTTCTATTATGTTATAGAATTAAAGGTTTAACATAGAGCCAAAATTTCGACTGAGTTGAGACTGAAAGCGATTACAATTTTAATTTTTCCCAATCTGTCAATACAATTGACCGACAGCGCCATAATTAGAATAAATCTCGATTCAATAGCAATATTATTGAAACTAATATTCTAATTATTAAAACAACATATAATGTATATCAATTTCAATGATATTACTATTGAGTCAAAAAGATTTACCCCAATTATGGCGTCAATTATTGACCAATATTGTTTGATACAGTAGTATTTTTCCGTGTATAATTATATAATGTTTTTTATTGTTTTCTCTCTCGATTCGAAGGGTAGGTAATCGGATGATGACTTCACGAACTAACTGGTCATATACGGCAACGTACGTGTGTAAGGCGGATCACGCGGCTCACGCGTATTCCCGGCGAGGAAAGCAATGTCACGGGCTAACGGTTCGCTCTGGTCTTTGCATGGAAATGGTCTAAAGTATACGATGTTGTAGTAGACGCGTTATCGTTCGGCCGCACATTTTAGCGGCGGTGGCGGCTCTATGAAGCTCGCCGTCAGCCAACGTGCGCACCGTTAGCGTAAATCCGCCGCGCGCGCGCGCCGTTACCGGTTACTCTCTCATCTATCCCGCGAGAGTATGGCAATCTGAGATATCGGTCACGCGCATAACACCATCGTTCGGATTTCAATTAGACTAATGCAAGCTCGAGACCGAATTTACAACGGTCTGCTCCAGACGATCGTCCTCGGGGGCTGAATCCCGGCGATAGAGAGAGGCGAATGCGCCGTATCTTCCCTCTTTTGCTCGGTGTGCCTCGCACTCTCTTTCGTTTTCGCTCCGAGAAGACCCCCCGGATTTTCTCACACCGAGAGAAATCCCACTTAAATTATAGTCATTCTCGGCCTCAACTGTATTTTCTTCTGGTATTATCAGTGATAACAACCTTATACGCATATTGCTATTACTATTTTTACAGTTAAAACTACGAACAATATAAAAAGAGTATAATTGTGGCTGAAAATAACCGTAATTTCTTTCACCGCAATCAGCATCGTGGAATAGAGAGAGAGGCTCCATCCCATGTTTGGGATAAGAATGGGATCTCCAATTTCTATCGAAGTGGGACAGCCTATCTTGAGGATAATTTCGGGTATTCTAATTGGAATCCATGCTGTATCAAAGAAAAATCCTGAGAAATTTCTACGCGGGATTTTTTACCAGAAAAATCATTCTTCTCTATAATTCTTTCACTCATGCGATTTTAAAAACAACCGCAAATAGGAGAGATTTTTTCTCTGCGCGCTTTGCAAACGACGACGCATCGGAACGGCGTGTCGGAAGACAGCGGGAATGAGAACGTTATCAATTTTACGCGGTCGCACACCCGGCCGTTACGTCGACGACGGCGAGGGTTAAAGCGCGGCTTGCGGTCGCGAGTGCACGGCATTTTCCGGGCGAGACTCGGCTGCG